ACGATGTGACCTCTTACCAACGCTTGCAACTTCACCAATGCTTTTAGTGCTCTCAGAGCTCTCTTTGCCTTTCAAATCCAAACCCTTTTGTTAACTTCAGTTTCCAAATAACATTCCATGGCTTGCCATGATAAAAATTCACCCAAATTTCCCAATTTTAAGATAAATAAATATTTTTACATTTTCCTTTATAATTGATTTGAGGATGTTTCTACTTTTAATGAAGTGAAAAAGAAATGAGTACTTGCTAACTTGCCCATCACTCTCTTAATGCATCATTTGGTGATAGCAAGCCTAACCACCACAACTCTGGTCCATAACCTACTAGACATAGTTCATCATGATTTGCATAGGACCAACCAATCTTTTACTGCTATTAAAAAAATATGTAAAAAATATAACTGAATTTTTTTTAAAAAAAAAAATCCTTGCACGGTCCTGTTCCATAATTATACAAAATATCATTTAAAAGGACCGACCTAGTTTTGGTGTTTTTTTTTTCCGGAAGAGCCACTGTATACTTTTCCTGCTCCAAAGGAAAGTATAATTCGTGGGGCTTTATGATTCTCACCCTCGTTTCCTTTTTTTTTCCCCCCAAGTTTGTTATCGTAATTGAGACCTCAATTTTATCGTCTCTCACAATGAAGGGCTCATACTGAACTCAAAGGAGAGAAAAATGATAAAAACGAACTTATATCTGTCAAAAGAGAGAAATTCATATGAGTAACTTCATAAAATATTGAGATATATTTTTTTTAATTTTAAAGCGTAAATAGAATGAAGAAGCAGAAAAGCAACACGCAGTGAGGAACGATGACAAGTGTTTGTTTCGCGAGAAAAACTAAGAAAATGACTTCGGCCAGGAAAACAGAGGATGAAATCAAATCACGTACAAAGAGAGTCAAACAAATTTGAAAATACCGGCTGACGTGCTATGGCTGCATGTTGATCCGAACTTCAAAGTTGAATCCGGAAAACCAAGCGCCAAAAAATTCTCACAACCTCGGGAATAGTACTTACCAAGTAACCACGAAACGCCGACTGTATCTTAACGGCGGCGACGTCTTCCGGCCACCGGTGCTGGCTTGTGCTAGGACCGCCACCGCCATTCGTGAGTCTAACCACCTCCGCCGCTGCATGAGCGGCGGCAAGAGCGGCCTCCGCCACGGCCGCCGTCGCCGCAGCCACTGCAATGGCATGTTTATTAGCGTTCAAGGAATCACCGTATGGCAGCGAAGAAGTGGAAAGGTCGGTGTTATTGAGATCAGAAGTAGCACTTTGGGATTTGTCTTTGCTGCGTTTGATGAATCTCCATCTCCGTTTACTCTTGACCGGTTCAGAGCCGGACTTGTGGGAGCCTTCGGATGGAGAGGCCGGCTTTTTGCCGCCGAAAATTCGCCGAAGGAAACCCATATCTCATTGGAGGGCGGGGGATTTCAACGAAATGGTCGGGATTTTGGTCGAGAAGAACATAGTGAGAGAATTGAATTGGCAGGGAGAGTGAGAAGAGAAGGAATTTTGCTACTAGGAAGGAAGTAACAGAACTTCGGTTACAGAAGCGAGAAAGAGAAGGAATATATAGCTGAACGCTTGGGGAATGGGGATGAAAACGACGCGGGAGTAAAGAGAGTGATCATCACGCGCGACGCCATGTTCTTTTCCTATTGGTGCAAGTTTTGTCCTGCCGCTGCCTGGCTTCATTTGGGTGGACTGGGAAAGCAAACCAAAGATAAGGAAAAATTGCAATATTATTTCTAATACCGTCAAATTACTCTCTCTCTCTTTTTTTTTTTTGGGGGAAAATTCAATGCGAAGAATTTAGATCTATATCTGTTTTCTACCATATTTTGAACTATTTTTCTTGATTTTTGGACTGAGTGGATGAGAACTCTCTTGTCCAACACTCCATTAGTTACTACCTAACTTTCCGATGCTTAAAATCATTTCTTTAAGATCATTATTATTATTATTATTCTGTTAGGCTTCTTGTAATAATGTATCCTAATAATATACTTTTTCAGTTTTTAATATAGAACCTCATTTTGAGTTGATTTTAGTCTTAAATATAAGATCTATTTCTTACGTTTATTAATTTTTTTTAAATTATCCCTTTGCATAGTCTCTCAACTATAATTAAGTAGAAGAGGGATGGATGATATTAACAAAGATTATTATAGTGTTTTAGGAAAAACATATCATATTTCTTATAATTAACTAACTTATTTAACTTTTTTAATCTAATTAAATTAGTTAAATAGATATTATATTAAGAATAAGAGAAATATTACAATAACATATGGTGGTAGTATAAATCGAGGCTGAAATTAAAATTTTATACAAATAGTTAAAAAAATGTGTGGAATAGAAGAAGTGGTAGTGAGAGGCAGGTGACAACGTATGCGACAAATATTAACGTACGAAGGTGGACTGTGATGCACTGATGCTTGCTCGCAGCGGCCTCTTTCCACATAAACGACAAATATCGAATTATAATTTTTGAAAAAAAATATATATAAAAGAAGAAAGTAATGAAAATTAACCTTGTGTGACCTTGATGCTGGCTTTTCTGTATCGTCTGGCTGATTCTATTCCTGGCAAAATGCTATCTATTTCATATTTTTTTCCCCCTCTAAACGCATTCTCGCTTATGATTTATAAGTACCACTCAGTATTTATGTAACTTTTTAAAGAAAACTACGGACAATGTACATTTTTCCGATGTACCATTAGCCAGTGAATAGTTGAAAATACTAACTCTGATATTTAATATAAAAACTAATTTGATATTTTATTTAGTTCTAAACATAAGCCTTGATATATTTTATCTATCATATTTATCTATTTTTTAAGATAATCTTTATAATAGTTACACATGTTTAATGTTTCATCAAATGGTAGTTCTAACTAATATACATGATTAGCACAGGTATTTTGGAGAAGACAACACTTATTTATTACAAATAACTAACTTAATTAATTTTTTTAATATATCTAAATCAGTGAACTAATTTTTATATTAAAGATTAAAAGATACTAAGTACATATACATGGGACGAATGGGAGGCATTAATAAGTGTATGGGCGATGTATTGATGGATGTCACTTGCCAACGTGCAAAGAATAAATAAACTAAATGTCACAGCTGACATATACATTATATAAATATATATATTTATACATGAGAGAGAGAGAGAGAGATGCTAGGAAGAGCTTTTATTTAAAGAGAAGCTTACGGAGTTATGGCGACTTGTATATATTGTTTTAATGATAAAGGTTAATGTTCCTTTGGCTGGGGATGCTCATCAGCCGATGCATTACTAAGCTTTTTGAGCAAGTTTTGTAAAGGTTAAATAGATCAATACATGATGATCTCTTAGCTGTATATTCTGGTTCATATATGTAATTTGATACTAAACATGAGACATTAATCTATTTAATATCCTCGTTAAAGGAAAAATATTTTAAGGATAATAAATAACTAACTTGACCCTCTTTTTAATTTATATCATAAATAATTAACTCTCTCTAGTTAACAAGTCAAGTCATATTTAGAAGAATATGTTGATCCAAAATATTAGTTAAAAATAATAAATATAGAAGATATTTACATATTTTTTTAAACTCCACTCTTATTTGTAAAGCAAGTATATGAAAGATAATAAGTAAACATTTATTGCGGAGAAATAAAAAAATGATATATATTTAATGAGGCAAAAAGTATAAAAGTTAGTTCAAAATTTTAGATCAAAAAAATTTGTTTATTATATCTAGATACACCCCTACGAGAGAAATTGTTTCTTATAAAAGGAGACGAATGAAGAATTATTTTTCTCCCTTCTTCATAACCTCATTTAATATAGGCAAAATGGGGGGGGGGGGAATCAATTTAAGACATGTTTAATGAGTTAACTACTATTTCTTAGTTTTGATAAATGAATTCTTATATTTTGTATTTAGAATTAGAGGCAGTATAAATGAATATTTATGGATCTACCAAGCCGCGTGCAGATGCCAGTGATGCCACTCTTGATACTGACAGCACCCAGCAACAAATTAATGAGGCATCCATATGTCTCACCCAACTTCCTCGTTCTTCTTTTGGCTAATCTCAAGCCTCCACCATACGTCTCACCGTTTGGCACAATCATTCTCTCGTCTCTTACGAATGTTGTCTTTTATCTACCCAACTCTGTCTTTTAATCTTAGGACTTGGGGGTTCCATACTTCCATTTAATAAGTGACCTTTTCCATTCATAATATTCACATTTTTTCAGATATGGGACTTTTAATTCCTACGCCTACCCATCAACATGTAATTGTCAATTCATTAAAATCTTTATCAGCATGATTACTTACTGCTTTGCTAATTCATGTACGACAATATACTCTTTGCATCACCGAAATAAAATGTTGGAGTTTCACATCAAACACCGGTTGGTGAAGAATGCATCCACCATACTCCAAATTAAGAGAATATATAGCTCTCATCAATTAATTCGTTGACTTCCTTTCCCTCAGCCAGTTTACAGGAATTCAACATCTTAGTTTCTACATTTATTGCCTCGCACCTCGTCCTTTTACCTTTATTGTTTCGACATAAGTACTCCTCTTCGGGAATGTCTTATTTCATCTTATTTATAAATCATATCATTAAATTTTTAGTATTAATTTTTTTTTACATTTTATTTAGATTTTTATTTGTTAAATACATATATTAAGTCAGAGGACAGTTGAAAAATTAGATTTCAATATAGAGTAAATGAGGTTTTAAGTCTTTTTTTAAGTTGGGCAAAACATAATTTATAATTATTTTGTCATTTTTCATTGGGTTTTTCAGGTGCGGCCACAGAAGAAACCCGGAAATTTAAGATAACCAACAAAACAGCTACTGCCTACCAGACTTAAAACACATTAATTATGGTCCAACTTGAACCCAGACAGACAACTATCTATTGACAATAACGGAATATTTTTCCCAAGTTAATTATTCACAGTTATAGTTTTCCCCAACTTTCCAAGAATTAACACATTTATAGTTGTATACAATACATATTGCTAGGTTAAGGTATTGAAGAACTTCAAAGCAAAGGAATGTAATCAATCTTTTTTTCAAATCTAATGCAATGATTAGGCTGTTGAGTCACAACTCCAATATCAAACAAAAGCATCCTTATCTATAATCGTACCATAAAAGATCTGCACATTTAAAACTGAATTAGCTTTTTCCCCCAACAAAATTTTTTTTTTCCTGTTTCTTGATTCCGGAGAGAGGAATAAATAAGAAAAATGACAAGAGAAGATTGAATTAGTGGTGGTTAGAAGGAGAAGGGGCAGTCCAATACTTCTTAACAGCAAAAAGGAGCTTGTGCCTGTGAAGAGGGCCATCTTCATGGTCCACAATTTGAGAGTCCCATTCCATTCCACTGACGATTCTCTTTAATTTGAGCAACACATCCACGTCATCCCTAATTATCACACTGCCCTCTGGCCTAAGAATCCTATCCATCTCTAACACTATGTCTTCCATCTCACATCTACACCACAACATGCCCTTTTATTATGTGTGGTTCACAACACAAAAATAAAGTACAGCATCAAGAAAGAAAAAATAATGACCTTCGCTTCAGGTTTTGAAATTGCCTCCCAAAAATCAACAATAATTACACATTAGTATGGACTTTTTGATTAACATGTAATTATATACTTTTTACATCTACTCTTGGTTTGGATGGGAAGAAAAAATAGAAGAAAGGATACTTGGAGGGAAAACTCCAAATAATAGTGAAATAATAAAAGTAGTATTTTTAGAAGTATTCCTTCCTGGTATTTTCCTTTCCCTATTTTCTTCCCATTCTTCCCTCCATCCAAGCCAAACCTTAATCAACATGGACTTTTTCATATGTTGCAGAATGGGGAAGAATGGGGGGCGGGGGGGATAAAATGAAGGAAGCAAATGGAAAAAGAAGAGAAGATGGAGATGAGGGATTATTTTCAGACTGAACAAGGAAAATGAAAATAGATATTTATATTTTATATAAATAACATTCTGAAAATTTTATCTTAAATCTGATTTTTTTTTTCAAAAAAAAGAAATAAACTTTCTTCAAAAAAAGTGTTCCGAGGGTTGGTTGAACTTTCTCCGTTCTCTCATTAAAACGTGCTTTTGGCTTGCATCAAGTGACTTGATTTGATCTAAATTAAAAAATAAAAAAACGTGCAAACCAACCTGTTACTGTAAAGGCTGAATACCGAGTCAGCATGGATCAGATCATAAGTTCTAGGATAAGTAGACATTGCTTCACACCTGCAAAGAATTTAAGGCCACAAGCGCTTTAGAAAGAACACAGAAAAGAGTGACAGAAGTTAAGAAAACTCCATTGAACAGAGCAGATAAGGAATTTTTTAACCAACCAGTCTTGGTATGTTCCAATCAATCCTCGTTCATATATTACCCCAAGTGTGTTAACCTTAGCCTGGACAGGAACTACATTCATCACCCAAACTGGATCATCAATAAGTGCGGCAGCAAATCCACCCAAGTAGGCATTCATGTCTAGGAGGTTCCGGTATCTTCCAGGTTTTCCTAGCTGGTTGTTCACTTTCTTGTAATGTGACAACCTCTTCCTCCACAACTCAGAATCCTTGTTGAATGTTTCAGCTGTAACTCCTTCTACGGTTCCCATGGATATCCTTGGCGGGACGGCATTTAATCTCTTGGGCCAAGTTTTCAATGCCCTTCCTGCAGTTTCTTCTCTTCCAGACACTTCAGGCAGAGGACTCAAACAAGTTTGCATGTCTGTGTACCTGAAAATGGCAATCAATTAAAAAAACAGATCAAGTCGAAAATTACTTCAATTTTAGAGTTCAAGCTCTGGTAAACACCCATGACAGGACAAATGCTAAATTCATAGTTCAGCATCGAACAAGCAAAAACAATGGGAAAATGAAACCCAAACAGGTCTTGTCAGGGACAGATGTCAAAAAAATACTTAGTGCAGGAACAACGAAAGAGAAAGGTAAAAACGAAATAGAAATGAGGAATTGTCATAGGCAAACGCAAAATACGTAGCTCAGCAGTAAACAAGCACAAACAGTGGGAAAATGAACAGGTCTAGGAAGGGGCAAATTCAAAATACAAAGTTCGGCAGGCATTGTCAGGGACAAATGTTAACTACATAGTTTAGGAGCAAAGAAACAGAAAGGTCAGAAGATTGAAGCACAAACCAGGCTTTGTCAGGGTCCTCGGCCTGGCAGAAAGGGCGCTTATGATTGGCTTTGCAATCCAAATGGTTTTTGGGCTTCTGCCAGATAGCAATATCACCCTTCTCCACCAACTTCTTCCAGCAAAGGCTCTTAGCCACATTCTCGAGCTTGGTCTGCTCTTCATTCAAATCCTCCTTCGTTCTTTCCCATCCTTTCCAGTGTCTCTTCCAGTTGATCGGAGGCCCAGATAGAACCCAGAAGCCGCCAGGCCTCAACAATCGATCCACTTCATTTAGATAAACTCCATCTAACCAAGGAGCGAAAAAATACATCATTACAAGCAACTCTTGTATCATAAATCTATATATTCTCTTTAATTTCTCTCGGAGGCCTACAATCAACAAAGCATCAATAATTCTACAAAGGAACTCTTTCACCCCACAACTTATAAGTGGCAATGTAGCACGATCACAACAGGCCTAGACCTGTTAATCAGCTTGTTTAACTCGTTCATGGGACAGGTTTAAACATTTACTTTACCCGTTAAAACTGAAGTCTAAAGAAAGCAGCCAGTCCAAAGCAATGAGTTAAAGAACTAAATGAGAAATAGAGGCATCATTATTATTACATCTATCTTTCTTGTACAAAATACTAAGGTACAAGTGTTTATGAAGATCGACTTATATATGGTGTGTGAGGATACCATATTCAGCCCATCGGATGAGGCAGCGAGAGCAATGAGCCATGTCGAAAGCTCTAGAAGGGAAAGGCAGCCTCTTGGAGGCTAGCACTCCAATCAATGCGGGAACTCCCCGTTCAAGAGCAAACTGTACTTGTGCTTCATGTGTATCCCTTGGTGCTAATGACATTGTTAAGATGTCACGAGAGAGAAGAAAGGCTCCCCAACTAGCCACCTGCCTTCATCAAAGCTTAATCAGATCTTGAAATTGACATTTTTATTACATTGGGGCACTCGATTCTAAAAGTAGGACTCAAGCTTCACATTACAATGTAAGATCAAACCATGCATTTTAATTGCCAAAAACAACGGATGTATAGCAGTAGGCCCCACAGTCTCCCGGTAAGAAATATGGTACGAAAAACAAAAAAAAAGGACTTTGACCCAGATCAGATACGATACAGTGTTATGGCTGATACATGATGAGATGAGACAGATGAATTGTTTAGGAGGAAATATATAATCTCGCTGGGCAAGCGACAAATGGAGGCACATAGAATCATTACATATTAATTACACCACGCATTGTTATTGAAAATACAGCTTTAAAGTCAGAATGAATCTGCTAAAATCCGGTCAAAACTTACGCTTTTGGAATTCGTTGGGCTATTTCAGGCAGAAAAGGACCCAAAAAAACGAGGGAAAGAAAAGGAATTCTCTTGATGACCGTAAGATCTTTCTTTTTAAAAACTTCTTTAATCAGTAATTGCACTTTTAAAATTCATTCTCATGATATAAAGGGTTAATATGGAGACAATGCCCCGAGATGTGTCTAAGCGGATCTCACGCATAGCAAGACGAATTTGGGAGAAGCAACCCTATTGAATTGTTTATAGCAATTTTGGTTAATAAAAAATGTTATTTATAGCAATGAAAGATTCCCCAAACAAATTTATATTTAAAAAACTGCGAGGACGGCCGCCCACATCTGTTTAGAACTAAATTCCAAAGCTTAAAGCTTAAAAAAGGATAAAATGAGTAAGATTGTCTTCAAGAGTTCAAGTTCAGAAATTTCTCAATTACAACTACATTAATTACCCCTGTTCAAAAAAACTACGACTAAATGCCTACCTCGGATATGAACAAGGAAGAATGGGATACTTCCGCATCTTCTCATTAAAAAATAACTGAATATGCATCAATAAAATTATTAGATACAACCTATTTTAGACTTTATAAGAAGTTAAGATATAGAAAGAGGTGTGTGAGCATATTATTCAACAAAGAAGTAAAGAAGAAAGAATGTAGAAAGAAGCCAACCGTCCCAAGTACAGTTAAAGACATCGCAGTACTTAAAAAGGAAAATTACTTTGATATAGTATTATTATTTATATTTAGATTATTCAATGGCATGTTTCATTTTGGAAGTTATAAATTAATTAAGGATAAATTTGTATGTTTGAACTATTTAAATGAAGTAATGCTAAATAAGACTAATTTTGCTATTTAACAATTTCAACATAAACTTGCCCTCTCTCTCTCTTAAATAAAATAAGTATAGACAGATTTGTTTCAATTTTATTCTTTGATTTCAGTCCCAAAAAAAAAAGATTCTCTCGAAAGCACCAACGATATTTTACGATGTTCAAAAAAATCAAATAAATTTCACGGAAGTGATCCAAAGATTCCCACAGAAGGACCAACTTGCTTAGAAAAGCAAGAATTAAGAAATTAAAAGTGAAAAAGCGATAAAACAAGGAAAAGGGAAGGCAAAATTACCCCACAGCCAGTGTCAATGGCACTTCTAATGGAGCCATCCCGGAGATTAATCAACTTTCCGATGTTGTCAATATATGCGTCCGCTCCCTTCGGAAACATGGTCCCACCTCCCGGGAACCGGAACCGGTTTCCCTCGAACCGGATCCAGTTCTGTCCCGCCTTCTCCACCGTCAGTTCCCTGTGAGGCACGTTCGCAAACCATGCCAGATCCCGGCTCTTCGGCCACGGGAAAGGATTCCGGTATCCAGCCGGCGCTGGAATCCGGCACTTCAGTATCTCTCCCTTCTCTCGCTCCGGGCAGTGCCTCTCTCTGTATATCATCCTCGTCCTCGTGTACCTCAGCGACCTACCGTGATCCTCGCATGGCGTGTACTCGCTGTACTCCACGCCGCACCGGGGGTATTTTTTCACCACGGTTGCCTCCGCCGCCAGACCGGTAGCGTTATGGTGGGAGGAGAAATCGAGACGGTGGTTCCCGGCGGTGGAGGTTTTAGCGCACGGGACATTGAGGACGTTGCTGGTGGTGGTCTTGGCGGAGGAGATGAGTGCTGCTCCCTTCTGATACGAACCCACAAGGTAAGAGACGACGCAGAGGATGACGACGAGGGTGTAGATGTTGGTTTTTCTGCAGGCAGAGGGCTTAGAAAGCTTGGAAGTGGGATGATAGAGTGATGCAGAATCAGCACCAGCCATGTCCCAGAGCTTTAGAATCTGGAAGAACGGGGTCGTGTGCTGGGAGGCTGCGTCTTATGTACGGGAACGGAAGTGAAGAGGGGAGAGGAGAAGAGAAGAGAGATTAAAGTGGGACGTGAAGTGTTCGGCGAAATGCGCGTGTGGAGATTGTTTGATTGGGTGGGGGCTGTGTCTTGGAAAAGCGTGGGGGCCAATGGATTGCCACTGCCAATACTGTTGTACGTAATTGCACTCATTGGGTCTCGTCTTTGTAGAAGTGAGGTATATCCCATTATTCTTCGTTCACTTTCTTTCCCTTTCTCGGACCCAAATATTATAGAGGAAAAAGAGGATATCTTCTTACTTTCTGAATTTTTCTGCAGTGAGATTTTTTTAAGTAAATAGACCTTGGGGCTATTGTTCATAAACAAAGACTCCATCATTGCCCAAGCCTCTTGTACGAAGCTACGAAACAAAAAATTTGTATTATGTTAACGAAAAAAAATACACAATAAACATGTTACAGGTTATTTCATTTCACTACCAAGAAAGAGTACCAACAGTGGCATGAGTAATTAAAGCATTTTAATTTAATGGGTTTCTATTTTCTGACATGATGTGTTTGTTGGTCTTTGATTGCTGTCACTCTGTCACCTACCAAGAGGCATTAGGGGAAACTTTGTGAGTTGGAGCTGGAAAATGAATTGTCTAATTAAGTTACATAATGACGATAGAATTACTATTAAAATTTACCCCAGTACGAAATAAAATTTCCTTTCTTGTTTCATGTTTAGTTTGGACTGCCATAAGTAAGTCCATATCTAGTTAAATTTGACTACAAAACATCACCTAACCGCGCACATAATATCTCATTATTTTATGTTTATCACAATCAAACGGCTACTTGTTGAAGTCTTAAAAGAAATACCCTTTTTTTAATACACCAAGCCATTGGATTTGTGAGACTATTAACGGGTCGAAATTCAATAAGGATCAAGAACTGTTAGTATAAAGTTTTTTTGCATATGAGTACTCCCGGGGGGAGCAATAATACTTAGACTTGAGATCCTATTTAGGATATGTTAGATGCCATTGCCGCTCAATCAAACCATCCTCTAAAGTCCAAAGTTAGGATCAGAAAAGCTTATGTGCCAATTTTAAATTTTAAATAAAGTCCTAATTTGTGACTTTGTGAAAGTAAAATGTAACTGCCCCTTTAAAAGTTCATAACCCCCCTGTTCATACTCTTGTCATTATCTTGGCCCAAACATTGGATGCCCCTTTTAATGGGGAAAATTGTGTCAGTATATATTAATAATCACTATTTATGTGCCCTAGCCAGAAGGAAGCTAGTTTTGTGACATTTTAAGGTCTGTACTATATTTCGATCAAAAAAGGTCTGTACTATTATTTTAGTATCCCTCGAATAGAGTTAACAGATTGAGAGCATCATTTTAGTGCTTTGTCGTTTTGTTAAATTCCAAACCATGGATGCTTCCTCTGACCTGCGACCCCAAAGGAAAAGGCATAGCCCCTTCACCGATTGAGCTGGCAGACGCAGTCGTTTCATTTGCAGGTAAAAATTGGGGTGGGACAGCTGTTTATTCTTTATAAGGGGCAAGTCATAAAAATTGGAATTAAGAGAAGACTCAAGATAAAAAGTAAATAAATAATAAAAAAGAATTATTGAGAGTAAGTAGGAGCATGATGTAGATTGTTGACTTTTGAGATAACAGTAATTAAGAGTGCGCAATGGTCACAAATGGTAAGACAGAGAGTCAACAGACAACGATTATTTCCGTCAATGCTTATCATAGACTTAATCCATCCCTATTTCATCGTATGGATTTGAAAAAAAATAAAATTGATGTACTACGTAAAAATGTTTATCTTTTAGTCTTACCCTCGATTTACTGTTACATCATTTTTAATCATAATTACTTCTATTTAACGCGTTTTATCCCGTAAAGGCGTTACTTAAAAATAAGTATTTATTAATTATACTTTAAATTTGGAACAAGATGTGTGTTCAGAGATAATATAAAAATTCAAATAGAAACACAGGATGTGTCTTCTTCTATATTTTGTGTGACCTCAATATTTATTCTTATTTTGAATATTTGTTGAGATTTTCTTTTTACGCCCTTTCATAATCATGGTCATAATCGGGGGGCCTCATCATATTTTGTTTGAACGTGGTGTTATTTATGAGGGAATATGGAAAGAGACATGAAAAATTAAAGGAGATACTTATAGTGAGTGGCCTACTCCGCGGTACATTGATTACTACATTTATGCTTTTTGAATTTTCAAGGGGTCCAATAGACCAAAGTATCATAACCATTGGCTCTTCGACCTGCGGTTTTATAAAAGTCTTTTCTTATCTTCTTTACATTTCTTTTTTTTGTGGAGAATAACAAGCAATGAATCCAAGAAGACGAGGTTGTTGGGCGGGCACACTGCACTTCATGGTACAAATGGCAAGGGCCACTTTCTTCTGCCCTATCATTTTTCTATGTTCTTTTATTTATTTTTACTTAACACAGTTCTGTTCGAGACACTTCGAACACTAAATATTACTCCTCCGTTTTTATTATAAGAGACAAATAATCGAATTATATTGATAAAAAAACAGTTAAAATTAGTTAAGAACAATCAATGTGTAAAAAGTATAATTTTTTTCAAAAATGCCCTCATTAATAAGGAGAGAGAGCATGAGAGAGAACAATTAAATTATTAAAAAAAAGAGAAGTGGGAGGGAGAGAGAGTGTGAGTTAGAGACAATAAATATGGATAAAATAGGAAATCAACATAAAAAAGTAGAGACAACTTTTAATTATCTCTTATATATAGGAACATGACATAAGTATCAAATGTCTCTTATAATAAGGAACAAAAGGAGTAGCATATTTTCTAACAGAAATTTAAATATTAATTTGTTATATTATAAAGAACTAGTTTTTTCTACTAAACTAAACTCACATTGGTGATTTTTCTGTTATACTGTTTCCTTTGACCTTCCAAATAATCAATAGTGACCTCATCTAGGTGAGTTGGGTTGGCTTTTATTTTTTGATTGAAGTTATCTAAGACTCAATCAGGTAATTCTTTGAAGAAGAAAAAATAGTGCCAACATTTAGTGTTTCACGCTATCTTAAATAGCATGATGTTCAATAAAAGAATACATATACTTCAGGGAAAATAAGATGATTTTCATTTCTCTGTTAACATTGGATATTTTATAATTATCATTCGATACAAATTAGATTTTTTTCCATGTCGTCGTTGTTATTTTGTGAACAGATTGTCTCATTACTGAGGATAATCCAATTTGACTTTGTAAATTCTCAACATGCCTTGTGCCGAAATAAACAAAAACATCATGAGATAGAGCTGATAATACGGACTAGTGGTACAGATACGGACCAGCCTGCAAGAGAGCGGGCTAGACCTGCCAAAGCCTGCTCTTTTTTTTTTTTGGTTGAAAAATATGTTGTTACAAAATTAAAGCAAGGAGCTAAGGACTAAAATGATATCCAAGCATAAGTTAATAATTCTTCAGCAATTTAACATCATTAATCATTATAAAATAGTGAAATACATTATTCAAAACTGTAAAAAAAAAAAAAAACTTTAGGACGGGACAAGCTAAAAATTTAATCTAATAAATGGGTGTAGTTATAGACATACAAGTTGAAGAGGATTCTGAATGGGGGTAGTTATTTTTGTTATCGCTTCAAAACTGTAAAATTTTGCATCTCAATCGTAAACATATATTAATTTGCTCAGATATTAACAAAATTATAAACTAACGTCTGGAAGGCAGAAGATATATGAGATAAAGAAGAAAGATATGATGTTGATTATTGATATGCACACAAATTGTTATTGCCAGGGGTAAAGATATGATGCTGCTGGGCAAGAGTTTTATTTTTTTTATTTTTTAAATTTCATGATTAAAATTTCTTTATTTTAGTTTTAAAAAATCATTTATTACTTTTTAGACAAAAAAAAACTGTTATTATTGGTATGGGCTGGGTTTTAAAATTTGAAATGTTAAAATTAAAATCACAGTCTTGGACTTGAATAGTTGATTGTAACAAGATATCAAAGAGATTGGTTTTTGAAAACGAAAAAATAAAAAAACAGGTTAGCCCACGGCAGAGAGGGTTCAAAGCGGTGTGGACTGAAATAGTCCGTATCTTGACGGGTTGGCAACGCACTATTTTTTGCGGGCTGACTGGCTAGGCCCAGATTGCCGACTCTACCACAAGGTCTCAACGTGTCTCGGGGAAGAATTAATTGGGCCCATACAGAAACAAAATTTTGTGGCCTCCATTTTTAGGATGCCCAGTTCAATCGTATCACTGCTCCAAAAAGCCTTATCGTATTTACACAAACTTAGCTCCCGAACATAATTTTTTTAATAAGAATAAAAAATTTAGCAATGGCGATTTTTTCTTATTACGTACAAAATCACATTAAAAGAGAATTTAATTTCAGTCCGAGCGCAAATAGGAAATTGGGACCCTTTTTTTTAACTTAGGGACAGTCCAGTATATGTATGTTTTTGTTTAATAAAAAGTTACGCTAATAAAAAATGTTTGATTTAATTTATTTTCAGTAATTAAATATTTGAGAAGACCTTGCTCGTAAAATTCAAAAGTACCTTTTCTCATAGTCTTCAAATACCCAGTACCCACTAGCCATATAAAACCAAACTATTCCTAAATTTTTTTTTTTTTTTAATTCAATGTAGTAAAGCATTTTGGTCAAAAAAATTCAATGTAAAGAACATGCTTAAAAAAATTATTCTAATGGTAGTTTAAGAATATAAAATATAAATGTCTTTTTTGACCAAAATATAAATTTAAAGTACTCTACAAAAAATAAAATGAGCATTACTTCACGGACAAACTTCAAACCCATCACCCCAGATACCCAATATTTATTGGGACGAGGCTGGTACTAAAAATACGGAGGCAAAATTCAAAAGGATTGCCAAAAGTTGAGACCTTTTTTAGTTTTTTTGGCGGTTTAGGGCAGCCAGCAGAGGCAAAGGGGTACATCGGCGAGATACACGATGGCGGAAGACGACTACAATGACATGGATAGGGGATGCTCTGTGCTCTTTCTTCGTCATCTATTCTTCTACCTTACATAGACATGCATAAAATAATGGTTTTCGCTTTCCAATTCAATTTACATACTTGAATATACTTCTCTAGAATTTTACATAACACAGTACATTTCCTTGAGTTGAAGTTAACACCTTTTGCTAACTTTGAGATCCTATTTTCTTTCGGTTTGTAAAGACTGAAACTTTTTTCGACTATCTTCCCATGGTTATGTACATTCATCTTATGCCTCTGCATTGCTAGCTCTATATATAGCTGTCTTATAC